CGCGGAGACGACTTGAGATGGGCCACAGCACTGGCTTCAGGCTATGGTTGTTTTATCTGATATTGGCTCTGAGTAGAGTGGTTGGGCGTATTGTCGGGGACAGGAGGAAATGATGGCTTTGTGAAGGTCGATAGGTCATGTTTTATGATTGCATAATTGTCGGTAGCGGGCGCTTCTGATTTGATAATATTTTGCACGTTTCTTTTTCCTTTGGAAGGCGCGACGTGCGTTCTACACGCGTTGCTGTCAGGGGGGAAACACCTGTCGCTAATCCAGTAAATTGCTAAAATCACCAGAGGAATCCGAATGGGAGAGATGAATGTTTAGTGCCATTAATTGGATCTATACTCATTGCGATATCACCTTTGTCCGGCTGTTCCTAAGGTCTTTTACACATTTCCATCTCTTGGACATTCTCCCATTTGATGCGCCTCCTTTAGGTAGACCCACTGAGCTGAACCGGTAGAGGGGTTCGCAGATCGCACTGTACTGTGCACCAAGAAACTCCACTTATACACAGTGTTATCTCTATATGCACTGTGATCTACCTCTTTACGCGACCTGACCCTGGACGCGACGTTTGATGAGCAGCGATTCGCGCAGGACGCGCAGCAATTTATCTGGGAGTCTTGTCCCTCGACCGTGCTAGTGACCTCCTCCCCTCAACCGTTCACTCCTTCATTGCAGTGTTTTTGCCCATTCTGATCACTTGTTTTTTGACTCGTTCATTGCGTGTCGTCCAATTCCTGCGATCCAATCTATTGTTTCTGCTGTCTGTGATTCACTGACCAGGCAGCTGGTCTACCTGTAGAGATGGCTGGTGAGAAGGTCGCCAACGGCAGCGCGGCTGCTCGCACACCAGCGAAGAGCCTCGGGGCCAAGTCCGCAGCGTCTGTTTCCTCCTCGGCCAAGCAGCAGCGCTCGATCAAGTCTTTCTTCCAAAAATCCTCGCCCGCCCCTGCATCTTCGCCCGCAACCGCTTCCAAGCCTTCGCCCGACCCTGCATCCAAGTCCTCGTGCCTGAAAGAGACCACCAAGAACAACTCTCTGCCCAAGACGAAACCCGCTCCCGCATTCAATCCTGCTACCAAGGTGAAGTTGTCCACGCCTGTGCCCAGCAGCGACGCCCTGGAGCCGCCGAGTTCACAGGAGAACATGGATGCTGCCTCAGCCGATCTCCCCTCTCCCACAGTCCTGCCAACTAGGAGCAGCCGGACAGCTTTCAAGCCTATGAAGAAGGAGGTAAATGGAAGCAGCCCCTCGCGAAAGGCAAGTGCGAATGCATACCCCCCTAAATCCTGCAATACTAGTTCTCAGACACTAACTGTTGTATTTGCAGACTCGCAAGGTCGTTAGTTACGCCGAGTCGTCCGACGACGACGAGGATCCGTTCGCATATGAAGCCGCCTCAAAGTCAAGGCGCCGGGCTAAGAAATCCGCCGTTATTGACGAGGAGGACGAATATGGCGAAGATGAGAACGCAGCTGCAGATCAGGATGACGGTTCGTGTTTAATGCACCACCCTCAACCTTAACAGTGGACCTTTGAGCTAACCTTGATAGATGAAATGGACGATTTTATCGTATACGAAGAGTCAGAAGAAGAAAGCAACAAGGCCAGGAAACGAAAGCGACCTTCTAAGCCCCAGTCATCACGAAAGAAATCCACCGTTTCGTCTCCTATTACCCGTGACGATGAGGATCCCCCGATACTCGATGACGACGATGTAATGGATGATGGCTCAGGGTCTACGGCAGTTCAGTGGACATATGACCCTGAGTCGACCGACAAGCGACCAGTCACAAAGCCCGCAGATAGAGGTCCACGGGACCCCAACATCAAGGAGAAAGCACACACCAGAGAACCAGAGGATCGCTACCCCTGGCTTGCTAACATTCGGGATAAGGAGAAGCGAGCCCCTGGTGACCCTGAATATGATCCACGAACCATTTTTATCCCTCCGATGGCTTGGACTAAGTTTTCAGCTTTCGAGAAACAATACTGGGAGATCAAGCAAAATCTCTGGGACACCATCGTCTTCTTCAAAAAGGGCAAATTCTACGAACTATATGAAAATGATGCCACCATCGGTCATCAAGAGTTCGACTTCAAGATGACCGACAGAGTAAACATGCGCATGGTTGGTGTGCCTGAGAGCTCCCTGGATCATTGGGTCAATCAGTTCATCGCCAAGCAGTACAAAGTTGCTCGAGTTGACCAAATGGAGACGAATTTGGGCAAGGAGATGCGCGAGAGACAAGACAAGAGCAAGAAGGCAGACAAGATCATTACTCGTGAGCTTGCCTGCGTTCTCACAGCCGGTACTTTGGTAGATGGTGGCATGTTACAGGATGACATGGCAGCCTACTGTGTAGCGATCAAGGAGTCCGTCGTGGATGACCTACCAGCTTTCGGTATTGCGTTTGCCGACACCGCCACTGGCCGCTTCCATCTCTCTGGCTTTGTAGACGATGTGGACTTGACCAAGTTCGAGACCCTTATCGCTCAAACTGGGCCTCGGGAGCTTCTCTTAGAAAAGTCACACCTCTCTACGAAAGCTTTACGCGTGCTCAAGAATAATACAAGCCCCACTACCATCTGGACACACCTCAAGCCTGTCACAGAATTCTGGGATGCGGACACATCTCGTCGCGAGATCAACACCGGGAACTATTTTGCAACCGAGGATGGCGAGGACGAGATCTGGCCCGAGAGTTTGCTCAAGTACAAGGAAGACGATCTGGTCATGTCTGCTCTTGGAGGTCTTGTCTCATATCTCAAATTCCTCAAGCTGGAACGTCCTCTTCTATCTCAGGGCAGCTTTGAGACATACAACCCCATCCAGAAGAACGGCACGCTCATTCTTGACGGACAAACGCTTGTCAACCTGGAACTTTTCTCTAACTCTGCTAACGGCGGATCCGAGGGCACATTGTTCAGTCTTCTAAACCGATGTGTTACACCTTTCGGCAAGCGAATGTTCCGTTCATGGGTCGCTCATCCCCTCTGCGATATTAACCGTATCAACGACCGCTTAGACGCCGTGGAGATGCTAAATGAGGATCCTTCTATTCGAGAACAGTTTGCGTCTCAGCTAGTCAAAATGCCAGATCTGGAGCGACTTATATCTCGGATCCATGCTGGTGTTTGCAAGGCCGATGTCTTCGTGCGAGTTCTCGAAGGATTTGAGCAGATTGAGTACACCATGAGCCTTCTCGGTTCCTTCAAGGGCCGAAATGGCCTGGTGGACCAGCTTGTTTCCAGTATGCCTCAGCTTGAAGAGCCGCTCAGCTACTGGAGCACAGCATTTGATCGTCATAAAGCCCGCGAAGACAAGCTCCTGATCCCCGAACGGGGTATCGAGGAAGACTTCGACGAGAGCGTGGACCGCCTGGCCGAAATTAAGACACAGCTGGAGGATCTCCTGAAGGAGCAAAAGGCGACTCTGAAGTGTCGAACTATCAAATACACGGACATTGGCAAGGAGATTTACCAGATGGAAACTCCCAAGTCGGTCAAGGTACCTTCAAGTTGGCGTCAGATGTCCTCCACCAAGGACCTGAAGCGATGGTATTTCCCCGAGTTGAGCCAGCTGGTGCGAGAACTTCAAGAAGCAGAGGAGACCCATTCACAGCTCATCAAGGGTGTCGCTGCTCGTTTCTTTAAGAAGTTTGACGTTGACTATGACACCTGGATCAAAGCAATTAAGATTGTTTCCCAGTTGGACTGCTTGGTCAGCTTAGCAAAGGCATCATCTTCTCTCGGCCAGCCCAGCTGCCGTCCTCACTTTGTCGACGAAGAGCGTAGCGTAGTGAAGTTTGAGGAATTGAGACATCCCTGTATGATCAACACTGTGGACGACTTTATCCCTAATGACATCAAGCTTGGTGGCGATGAGGCGAAAATCAATCTGCTCACTGGCGCCAATGCGGCTGGAAAGTCAACCGTTTTGCGAATGGTAAGAACAATTTCCCCCTGTCTGCTTCTGGACCAAGTTGCTAATCTCATATTTAGTCCTGCATCGCCGTTATCATGGCACAGATTGGATGTTACGTACCAGCGGTGTCGGCTCGTTTGACACCGGTAGACCGTATCATGTCGAGATTGGGTGCTAATGACAACATCTTCGCCGCCCAGTCTACCTTTTTCGTAGAGCTTTCCGAGACGAAGAAGATTCTTTCCGAGGCTACACCACGGTCTTTGGTTATCCTTGATGAACTTGGCCGTGGAACCAGCTCGTACGATGGTGTAGCTGTCGCTCAGGCAGTCCTTCACCACGTCGCTTCACACATTGGCTGTATTGGGTACTTCGCTACCCACTACCACTCACTGGCAACCGAGTTCGAGAACCATCCTGAGATTCGGGCACGGCGGATGCAAATCCATGTCGACGAGGCAGAACGGAAGGTCACATTCTTGTACAAGCTGGAAGACGGTGTGGCAGAGGGCAGTTTCGGAATGCACTGCGCCGCCATGTGTGGCATCTCCAGCAAAGTCATTGAGCGTGCCGAGGTTGCAGCCCGCGAGTGGGAACACACCAGTCGTCTCAAGGACAGCCTGGAACGCGCAAAGACGGGGTGCTACATCCCTCTAGGTGTCTTGAGCGATATCGGTGCACTTCTTGGTGACAAGGGAGAGATCGGGGACAAGGGGATGGAGGTGCTCTTGCAGGCCATCGAGAGCCTATAATGATAATGCCAGTCAGCGGTGCTTTTGGTCTTTGATTTCTCTTTTTCTTCTTCTCTATTCTTCTCTTCAGGTTTGGTATCTTCGACGGTTCAATGCGTGGGATTGGTTGGGCGTATGTACAGGAGAAAGACATGGCGGCATCTATCCGGCATCTAGATATAATAAACCGAAGCTCGGTTTGCTTTCTCGCTTTGGCAATCGACGGAAATGGGATGGGCGCTCTCTGGGACTTTGGTTGCTTTCTGTCAAAGAGGTCCGGCTACAGAAACTGGCCGGGAGACTTGGGATAGCATTACATGGACAGTCACTATTCAGGCGATTCTATATATTGGTCAAAATTCACATAATTTGGTATTAGGGGGTCGAAGCCCGGGACAAACTTGCGGTCAATAAACGATCCAAAACAGCAAACAATCACTACCGTAAAATCAAAACGTCCACCTCTACTGTCTCCTTTGCGCGCGTTGCCTAGGAGACCTCCTGAGGCCCCCTGGAGGAGGAGGAGGCGCCTCGGCGGCGGCACTTGTTGCTCTGTTTCCTCTTGCACCTCGGCCACTAGCAGCTGCGGCTCTTGCTCTTGAGGCTCGGGTTCTCCCTCGAGCTTGATCTCGGGTCCTGCCTCGAGCTCTGGTATTTCCTCGGGGAGCAGTCGCGCTGTCAGCGACCTCGTCAGCCTCGTCGACGTCGGTCTCGGGGAGTGGTCTGTAGGTGGTGTCACCTACGCGCCTCCGCTTTGGTGGGCTAATATCGTCCACGTCCGGCTCTAGGTCATCGTCCGAATCCGACTCACTCTCAGTCCGGTACCCAGCATTGTCCGAGGGCGCTTGTCTCTTCCGTCTACGAGTTGCGGTGGGACGAGCCCTTGCCGCTGCTCTAGACGGTCCTGGTGCCTCTGTTCGAGCCTCAGCTTCCCGCGCCGCATCCTCCCTGAGCCTTTTCTCGATCTCAGGTGGCCAGGGTTTATTCCAATTCTGCCTGTTGGCCTTGTTGTTGGGGTCGTATTTCCATAAAGAGCTATTTGGTTGTTTTCCCTCGAATGGATAGAACTTGTGTCCGAACAAGTCTTTGTTTTTGTTACGGTAGTCCTTTCTGGCGTTTATTATGCGGTCTTTTGGTGTGTTCCTGAGCCATCCGCTCCTATTGGGAATGTTCTCCCGGTTTCCCAGCTTGTTGGGAATCCTGCAGTTGCGTTCAGGATCTACGTGCGCCTAGAACACAGTATTACATTAGCGTGGATCTTACGGATAGAAAACCTCTTGTCTGCATTGTCAAACGTGGGAGAGGTGGATATTATAAACTTACCTGCCACTGATCCTCGAAGGGAGGTTCATCTTCTGGGGCTTTTGTTTGTGGATTAGGCAAACTTCGCAAACACATGGAGCAATGGTCGCATGCAACGGGCTCGAAGGGGGGGTCCGTGACAGTCGTGGGCTCATCGGGTCGTGCACCTGCCTCTAGAGCGTCCCCTTGTCCTTCCGACTGTGTCTCCTCTTCGCTTTCGCTGTAAGGAGTTGGTTCACGGTCTTCAGCTGCCTTTCTAGCGGGGAATTGACCCCCGCTCATTGCAGCTAATAGCAGTGCGGCTTGTCTATCATCGTCGGTTATCTGAGATTGGGGCTGCTCCTGCAACTGCGGCTGCTCCTGCACCTGTGGCTGCTCCTGCAATTGCGGCTGGGCGGCCGTTAACCGAGGGTCCCTATACCGAGTCCTTTGCTCGGTCTGCTCCCTGACTTGCTCAGTCCGGTCCCGGGAATAGAGGCCATAGGTCCGCGGTGCTCGTGCTGTAGGATTTGGTGCTTGTGCTGTCGGATTTGGGTTAAACTCGACTCGAGGAGACGTGTGTTGGGGGAGTGGCTGGTTTTGCTGCAACTGCGATTGAGGAGAGGGTAGTTGCGCAGCTGGCGGCGATTCCGGATTCTCCCCCACGGGAGCGGGAGAAGGGTCAGAAAGGCTCTGCTCTGGGCTAGAGAGACTCTGGGAGAGTTCGCTGAAGGATGGTAGCACGGTCCTGCGCTGGTGGGCCATGAGGATATGGCATGCTAGCTCCGGTAAACTGTTGTAGACGGCCTCATCATCGCATCCTTGAAGAGGGCATCGCACAGTGTTTGTCAGACTCTCCTCGTGGGCATGGCGGATGTGGTCTACTAAATGCACTGCATCGTTGTTGGCAACCACATGATCACATCCTTGGTGAGGACATGGCACTGCAGGATGGAGCATGGCTCTTGCTGCTAAAAGGTCCCTGATGAAATATTCTTGATCCGCCACGACTTTTGTCTGCCTTTGCTGCTCCCCAACCGTCAGGAAAGCGGTTTCTCTCGACGGCCGCCCACCACCATCCCCCTCCGCAATCTCTTCGTTGTTATGGTTGCCGTCAGTGTGCTCCCCAGCACCCGGAACATCAGCGCCTGTAGTGGGCGTAACTGCCTCTCCTGAAACTGGTTGAGAATCAGCCATGTTTGCTGTTTGAAAATATATTATTAAAATAACGTGATCGATAAGACAATGCCTTTTTCTTCCGTGTTGTGCTCTGGTATTCCCAGTATCAGTTATATACGGCGACGTCCATCTTTATACACCTGGTCTGGATAGCCATATCACAGATCAGCCCTTTGTGGTCATTGTTTTCAAGACAAGAAGAAGAACAAAAACACTAGGGCTATCAGAAAGAATGGGCAGAGCTTTAGTTGTTTACTCTTTGAAAAAGAGCATTTTGAAACAACGCTCCGGGTGTTGAACTTATTTTTGAACTGCGATGGACTACATAACAAAAGTCAGGCATCAGAAATAAATACAACTTCTGTCTCTGAAGCTTGTCAACGAGTCTATTGTTTTGTCGTTTAATTTGTTCAGCAAGATACAAAGCATTTTCGTCACCTCGCCTTTGTTTGGGAAGCTCGTCAAAGTTAGTTCCTGGATAATCGAATTGTTTCCTTCTCTGTTAGCAAACATAGCTAGTAGTGTCAATAATAGCAGCAAATAGATAATGCGTCAATTGAGTTGAGAGGTTGTTGGTCTTTCAGGCGCACTTCCAATATAGTTGACGGCTGCGGTTGATCTCAATACTACAAGAGAAGCTTTTTGACTCTTAAGACCCATTACGAGGGCCAGGAAAGATCTACAATAATTTCACTTAAGAATTAGGCTAGTGCAGGTGGTTACGATATAAAATTGATATTCGAGCAGCGGATTCCTAATTTATCTTGGTGGATTTTGGTGCCTTAGGTTGATGGGATGAAGTTGAGATCACCAGGAGCCTACTCTAGGGTAGGCGATAAGCTGAGTCGTACGACGAGAAATGCTCCCACTGTGACAGTCACGTGAACGCCGCGGGCCACACTCTTGCCCACTAATTACCACAATGAGGGACAGTGGATGCCTCCATCATGACTTTCTCGCGATAGACAAACGGCCTGTCTGCTCCGAGTTTGACGGCTAATACCACGGCGGAGGCAATTGGCGAGATTTCGGCTCCGCTGCCCCGACATGGCCTTATGAACCTGCTTTTGCCCTCTTCAAGGTCACAATGAGGCCGCCGCGAATCCCCTCGGCCCACCAGGCGGACCTGCGATGCCTCATCCCGCGCACGGCTTGGGCCCCCTCGATTTCCAATGCTATCGCTGTTCATAGCGTCCAGCGGTGCCGACGCTCCTTCTTCTCGGCTACAAACCCAATGAGGGCTCCCCGCGCGGCCACAGCGACGTACAATGCCGGCTTCTTCCTCTCTAATCGCCTCTTCGAGCGATCTGCCTGCCTCGACTTCATTGTCGCTTCTAAACGAGCGAGCCTAGCAACTGCGTCAACGACGACAGCAAGCACACAGACAGCCTCTGCCTCGACTACGAATGAAGAACCTACGCAGAACTTGTCAGAGCTTGCGCCTCATCGGAGGCGGCAGGCCCGCAAGCAGAAAGAGCAGGCGGAAAAGCCTCTCCCTCAAGATGCCTCGTCACAATTGACCACAGCAGCCGCAGCCCAACCCTCGAACTCCCTCCGACGAACCTTCTCCATCCTTCTATCCCTAACCAAGCCTCGACTTACCGTCGTCGTCGTTCTCTCTGCAATGGCGAGCTATGCGGTGTTCCCGGCATCCGAAATGCTCTCTCCCTCGCTGACCGAGACCCCGAGCTTGAGCCCTCTGACGCTCTTCTTCCTCACCGTGGGGACCGCGCTGTGCTCGAGCAGTGCGAATACCTTCAATATGCTCTACGAACAGGCCACCGACGCCAAGATGACGAGAACGCGGAACCGCCCCTTGGTACGGAAGCTGATCTCGACGCGGGGCGCAGTCCTCTTTGGAATCATCTCTGGCGCTATTGGTGTTGGCTCCCTCTACTTCGGTGTCAACCCCACAGTGTCAGCCCTCGGTTTCGCCAACATAATCCTCTACGCTGGAATATATACCCCAATGAAGAGAATGTCGGCATTGAATACGTGGGTGGGTGCCGTAGTGGGTGGCATCCCCCCACTCATGGGCTGGGCCGCCGCAGCCGGCGAGACGGCTACCGGGGATGGGTCGTGGCGAGAGCTTCTCTTTGCCAGCGACGGCTCATCTATCGGCGGCTGGCTGATGGCCGGCCTTCTCTTCGCCTGGCAGTTCCCCCACTTCATGGCTCTGAGCTGGCCGATTCGCGAGGAATACAAGGCGGCTGGCCTGCGTATGCTTGCTTGGACGAACCCTGCGCGGAACGGCCGCGTCGCTCTACGATATAGCTTCATATTCATCCCCCTTTGCTTGGGACTTTGCGCCGCCAATGTTACGAACTGGGGCTTTGCTGTCACGAGTCTGCCCATTAACTTGTGGCTATGCCGCGAGGCAGTCAACTTCTGGAAGAAAGAGGGACATGGAGGTAGTGCCAGAGGGCTGTTCTGGGCAAGTATATGGCACATCCCTGGTGTCCTGATTCTCGCCCTGCTCCACAAGAAAGGCATGTGGACTCGTGCCTGGAGGAGCGTGATGGGCGAGGAAGCCGACGGTGAATGGGAAGAGGAAGAGTTGGAGGCGATGGCGAGCATGACCGCCGCCAAGGTGGCCGAGAAGACGGCGGACTTGAAACGTCCATAAACCTAGCGGACGAGTTCAACTGAGTTGCTCCCCCAACCACTCAACAATAGCTTTTGGCTTTTTCTTTTTTACATGTATTCTATCTGTACGATGTAGTCATGGGTTTTCCTTCAAGTCACTGGTGTGGAGAGATGATTATATATCCACTGTGTCCTTTCATTCAAAAAAGGTAGATGAGCATGGCGAGGGCGGGGAAAAAAGACAAGACAGATGTCCATGATTGATTTAATTGCATAGAAGACACACAGCATACGATGCTTTCCAAACGAGGGTAATCGCAACTTTTATTTTGTATAACACTTCGCTTCCACCATTTTATTTTCTCCATGCGTCTCAAGAACAACCGAACTAACTCTCAAACTCGGTACGCCTTCAAGGTCTATCTATTCCCCCCAAAATACTTTGTGTTTTTTATTCCGCACATTTTTTAAACACTGCTTTCCCCCTCTTCTAAACTCCTCCATTAGTCCGGCTAACCCAAGCCAGCGAGGAGGAGAGAAAAACTAGCGCTAAGAAAGTAAAAGGGGAAGGGGATTCGCAGGCAAAATTAAAAAGGAGTGTTTTTGATCTAGGTAGTATAAAATACCAGTATAGTGTAAACCAGAAAAATTAATTAGGGCCCCCTCTTCCCTCGTGACGGGCTCGGGGACCAAGAAACCCCCGGAGCCCCGTCGACCCGGTTTTTGTCAAAGGAGTGATGGTATGTGTATAAGGATTCATCCAGAACAATCATGGCAGCCAGTATTCGCCAGAAACTCCGTGTTGCTGAAAGATGCAACTGAAAGATAAGACAAGAGAAAAGACAAATAGAGAGGCGGGACAAAAGAGAATAAAAGAAATAAAGGAGATAAAATCGGAGATGCGGACAAAGGGGAATGACAATTGTAAACGACTTCATGACGCATCGACAGACGTAAGAAAGAAACAAGGATATAAAGAAATAAACAATAGGAAAGTTTAATAGACCAAAGAAAAATAAAATAAAGGTAAAAAAAACCTGAACAATGTGGTAAGTAGGTTTTAGATCTTAGCGATGAGACCTCCCCTCCCGGCGGGAGACAAAGCGAAAACGTATGGACGATGGGCAGTCTAATGATGTCTTCTGCCGTTCGAGCTCGGCAACCGCTGGCTGCCCATGTACGGGCTGGTGTCGCTCTGGCTTCCGTTCCCATACCCATGACCGGCGCTCGCTGTCGAGCTGACACTGGACGAGTAGCGGTGCTGGCTGGGTGCCATGTTACCGTAGCCGGCCTCCAGGCCAAACGGGCCCAGATAGGCACCGCTCGGACCGGGACCGAGGGCCTGCATGGGCATGTTCGGGGCAGCCATGGCGGCGTGGTGGGAGGAAGCGTGGAGGTGGCGAGACGAGCGTTGATGGCGGTGTTGCTGGCTGTGGTAGTGCTGGTCGTCGGAGGAGGGGGAGGTGGTCTCAGGACTATTATAGGATGCGTCTATCTGATCAATGGGCGTCAGGCCGATTCCGGAAATGCCGCTGTCGTCGTCATACCCTGTAAGAGGTTGGCCAGAAGCGAGATGGTTCTGGCTCAGACGTTCATTGCGCGTTGCTGCGCGAGCAGCGCTCTGAAGGTTCTTGATGCCGCTGGACATGCACTGCCAGTTGGGTGATTATGTGTCAGCGCCAGTATCGAAAAAAGGGGAAAAAGGGGTGGGGGTGGGAGGGATGTGAGGAGAGGTTTGCATACCTTTTGCTCGACAACTTGCCATTTCTCGCCGGTTCGTGCGGCGAGGGGAGCCCAGATTTCCCTGCGCATGGCAAGATACTCCTTGGCCATGCGTTGGAACTTTCTGTTGTCCCAGTCGTCGGCGTCTCGCCTCTCGGAGAGGCGCTCGTGGCGCTTGCGGCAGGCGTTGCCAGTCTTCTTGGGGAAGTAGAGCTCCTTGATCTGGGCCCAGTTCAAGCCCTGAGCCCTAGCGGCCAGGAGTTGGTGGTCGTCACTCACCGACCAAGCACCAGAGCTGGGGCGGTGGGACTGAGGGAGGGGAATTGGGGGTGCGGCCGTGCCAGCGTAGACCTCCTCGTAGGATGGTCCAGGCATGGGAGGGGCTTGAGGGGCTCCAAGAGCCATGGAGGACGAGCCAGCAGCAGTGGTGGGAGGCATAGTGTAGTAGCCAGCGGGGGGAAGGGTCATGCGCTGCTGGTTGTACATGGGAGAAATAGGGGATAAGGGGGATGGCTCCAGCTCAACGGGGAGATGCTGAGGGTAGCTCTGTCGGCTACTCGAGCGAGTGTGCCTGGCCATGGTGGATAGGGTTGGAAGACGGTAAGCGGTGGATGTGTGTATAGTGATTTGAAACAGGTCGGACCCAACAAGAGGATCGGTTTGAAGTCCTAGTAAGCTGTGCCAGACAGCGTGACTCTAGAATCTCAAACGGAGTGCAAAGTGATGATTAGACGAGTATGAAACTCAAAGAACAGGGAAGCTGGATTGGTCTTCCAAAATGGCCGAGGAAAGTGGTCACTCTGGGGATGGGCCCAATCAATCTGCCGGGGTATCGCTCTGGAAAAAACACCGAATCTGAACTAGGAGAAGAACAAAGACAGCATGAGAGTAGGAGATGATGAACCGGTTGACGGATAGGAAAGACAGAGGAAAGTATGACCAAGGAAATACTAGGAAAGAAACGAGACGAAAAAGGAAATGTTGATTGACTGGCTCTGAAGCAAGGAAGATGTGTTTGAGGAAGGAAAGTGAAAACCTCCTGGCCGCGGACATCGGCCTGCTTTAAGGATGAAGAGTCCCATAGCTTCCAAGACGTCGAGGATAGGATATGGTCTATTCCGGTACATGCGTGCTTGAGCTCTTGAAACAGCATCCTAGAGCTCGATTGGGAAATGAAACGGTAACCGTGTGTCTAAAAGATTCAATCTCAGCAGAATGGGTCGACGATATTGGTCGCCAGAGGAAGAGGCCTGTGCCTGGGCGGCTAAGTGGACTGCTCCGGGTCATGAACGACGGCGGCTACGAAGATTGGCCCATGTTGACCTACCTCGAACTACTGTGGAGGAGGGGAAGGACGAAAGTGGAGGAACTCAGGTCAAGAGCCTGGGAGGGTTGAGATAGCGGCTAGCTGTCAAGGCGGGAGATGAAACGAGGCAGGTCTTGGGCTTGCCTGTACTCCCCACTGAGTCGTGTGGTATCGTGTGGGTGCGCGTGTGTATGTACGAGCCTCTTTCGAAACAAGCAAGCGATGGAACAGGCGCCATATGATCGACCGAAAAGTACGATGGGCTCCGCTCTGATCAAGAACACCTGATAACCTTGATCCGGGCTACTGTATGGAAGCGCGGGAGATATGTGCAAGGTTAAAAAAAGAGCAAAAAGGAAATGAGAGGGGATCTCTGCATTGCATTCTGCGTCTTTAGCAGCGAGATGGAGTATCGAGATTGGTCAAGAAGGCCTGGCAAGCTGGCGGTACCCAGCAAGGCTGCATCAGTAGCAGCAGACTGCTGCGGGCTTGCAGCAGAGGTTTCTCCGTACTAAGCTACCTCATGCAGAGCTTCCCGATGATGTCAAAAGGAACCAGTCCGGTGCCAAGGGAAATGACCGTCCAGTGTGTGGTGTTGAGTGCAGCCGAGAAGGCTCAAAGAGCACGGCAGTCGTGAAGGGCTGCGGGCCGTGATTGGTCTATGTGGGGCTAAACTGGGGCCCCCATTTCCAGAAGCGCGCGTTTAGGCGAGATGGTACGTACCGGGGTACGTACCGCGCTTCTGATTGGTGCCAGCCTTGTGGACAACCCTGAACAGGACTAGCTCATCTATTTTCAGATCCTTCTGTGGGTCCAGGGTTCCATCCCATTGGCGCTCGATGAAAACACCAGCGGCAGCTCGACATCGCCAGCTGTCTGTCTCGCTTTCCACAAGTAAGATGAAGCCTGGAGGGAAATACCCATGGCTAAATCCGACTTCGGCGCTTGCATTTCCAGGGACCATGACATTGCCTCTCGGAAAGGCAGGTTGAGATATGCCAGGTCGGTTTCCAGGTGGAGTCCGGATGGAATAAAGTAAAAGAGGTACGGCCCCCCTACGCAGCCAACAACCTTTGCTCTGCATATCATTCTCGCGTGGTCTGGCTGGACTGGTCTCTGCGTTTGATATGTTGGTTCTGTGTCTCGTTGTGCGGCTCTGCGCTAGCTACCGTCCGATTCTTGCTTCTAGTCCTTTCCCCCTACCTCTCTGCCGTGTCTTGATTTAGCTGACACGAAACTGCACATCAGGACACAACTCGGCTGGCTACGCGCCTAGCCTCGTCCTGCCTTGCATGAGACGATGACGGGCTGAGCTGATGTCTGATCATTCACCCCTTTCAGACCCTCTCCCGCCATATCGTTGGTTAGGCTTGTAACGTCTATTGCATCGAGGCGTCGAGATTATTTTTGTCTTGCTTTATCTGTCATAACGGCCCTCTCTCTACCCAATATGTCTATGCAGTCATACGCCCAACGTCTGATCCTGCATGAATGAACCAGCAGCAGGATCTATGATACCCTATCCCAGCCCGTTTCGCCCCACCATGCACCGACCTCCGATCACATCTTCCCTCTTCCCCACGACAGCCCAATGCCCGTGCCGCAAAAAGCACACTCTGATGTCTCAAGCCATGGCGGCTATTAGTTCTGGGCCTTCCATCGCAGGATGGTCAGAGAGCGCTTCGGGAAAGTGAAGGCGCCCTTGCCATCCCACTTTGACTCCGTGATGCCCACCTCCTGCTTCTCGGCTGTGTTGACAACATCTAGCGCGCTGCCGCCCACGCTATGCACCTCGACCTCTGAGACGGCACCGCGGATCTCTGTCTCAAAGTCCTTCTCCTCATGGATGTTGACCACCGCCAGGCTGATCCACCCGTCGTCGCTAAGCGCTGCACTCACATCCAGCCAGGGCGTGTTGACGGCGCTTCGGAGCCAGGCTGGGTGCGTGTCGCCCGTGTACTCGCCAGCGCGCAGGCCAACCGCCACGGAAGAGCCGCGCATGTACTTGCTGTAGAGGAGAAGCGGCCACCACGTCGTCTGCTTGACTAGACCCTCGGGTGTGGTCATGAGAGGGGAGATGACATTGACAGACTGTGCGATGTTGGCCATGCCCACGTACTCGGCCTGGCGGATGAAGACATTGAGCCAGACGGCTACGGCTAAGGCGTCCGAGAGGTTATACCTAAAGAATAAGGTTAATCATTGAGTCTTCTCCGCTTTCCACATTTCTCTTTTGCCCTTCCCTTGCCGTGGCGCACCAATGGTCAAGCACGCAAAGCCAAATAACTTACTTCTCTTCAGCTCCCTCCTCGCCCGGAGCACGGACTGGATCCCAAACATTCCACTCGTCGAAGCAAATCTTCTGCTTGCGAACGGTAGGCGGCACGTTATTCTCAATACGAGCCAGGTCAATCAGGCTGGCACTGATCTGGATAGCTCGTTCAGCGGACCTCGGAGCTATTTCCACACACCGTTAGCTGGCCCCATCCTCTGATAGAATCTCCACGGCCAAAACTCTTGCCCTAAGGGAAACTCCGTACCTGTGACATTCTTCAGATGCTCGGAGCTGGCGGTGTAGATGTGAATGCTGTGCATGTCAATCAGGCTCGCCGTCGTGCTCCCGCCGAGGCCGTGTAGGTCGAACCGCACGCACTCCTTGAGAACGTAGGCGTCCCAAGTGCTGTGGCCCGTCTCACCGCAGAGGATGAGCTCGATGGAGGGGTCGAGCAGCTTGAGGGCTTTGGCCCACTGGTAGGCCTTCTTTGCGTAGTCCTCCTTGGTCATCTGCTCGACCTGCCACGGGCCCCAGACTTCGTTGCCGAGAGCCCAGTACTTGACCTGAGGGGTTATTTGTGTTAGTATAGCATCAAAATGTGGCGCGACAGCACCTAGGTAAAGTGGATGTGTGAACTTGCCTTGTAGGGCTTCTCTCTGCCGTTCTTGCGACGGAGGTTGGCATAGTAGCTATTTCGATCCGAGTTGCAGTACTCGAGCCAGCCGAGGGCTATCACACATCTGTTTGTCAACACATGTCGTTCTAACACCAGAAGCCTCGTGGCTCGTGGGGGCCGTGAAATGCGACTGACTAACCTTCGTCCAAAGTACCTAAATACGTAGCAAAAGTTAGCAAGTCCCGAGCTTGAACTCCCGACGGACCAACAGAGTAGCATCCTTGGTTGGCCACTCCGCTGGATCACAAGCCTGCACTTACCTGTACCAAAGTTTAGGCAGAGATAAGGCTCGGTGCCAACGATCTCACACCACTTGAGGAATTCATCTGTGCCAATGGCATTCGACTCCGTGCCAATCCAGGCAAGTTCAGGTCTACCAAGATCATGGTCAGTAACCATCCCCCAGAAACCGGCTTTAACGCGGAGGTTCCTCCTCCCCTGTTGATCGGGGAATGCGATTTGCCCTTCGTTATCATTGCAACTGTATTCCAGACAATGACAACATCATTGCAGAACGCCGAAATTCCAGAAAGCAAACCGGTCAAAGGAAACATCATCTCACCTGCCAGGGCGATTCTCCCGGGGCCCAACACCGTCGATCCAGTGATACGTCGCGCAGAAGTTGCCGCCGGGATAGCGAACGACCGGGACGCGGAGCTCCTTCATGGCCTCAATGACATCCTTGCGGAAGCCGTGCTCGTCCGAGAGGGGGTTGCCGGGGTCGTAGAGACCGCCGTAGATGCACCTGCCCATGTGCCTAGGAGTGGATGGTAAGCCATTGCGTTCACTCACGTCTTTTTGTCTTGAAGCCGGCAGGGAAGATCGAATATATGGGGAGGGCAGGGGAGTGTGGGGGTTTCTGGGTTGGAGGTGAGGGTTCTGGGCTGGGGTTGTGGCGGGTGATGAAGACAGGGTGTGATTGAAGCTTGAGACGAGTTGCGAGGGTGTGAGGGGTAAGTGGTCAGTTTTTTGCATACTCTGTGAAGCCACCGTAGACATTGTCTTCGATCTTGGCAATGGTCAGACTGGGGTCGATCGAGATGGAAGGGCGCTCGTCGTCGCCAATTTTGGTGTACGAGGTCATGGCTGCTATGGCCTGGCTTCTCAGTGGACAGGTGAGCTGGTGAACTCAAAGATTCTTTCAACTCGCCCGCTCTGTGAAAGATAGAAGCTGCAGTGGGGAGAAGAGGGGAGGAAGCGAGAGTTGCGAGATGCAGAGTAGATGGAGCAAGAGGAGAGGAGAGACTCCAACTGGGTTAAAGGACGAGGAGATGGATAAGAAATTGGGGACCAGCAGGTCGTGTTTTCAATCTCGCTGCTTGTCCACTTAATCTGCACCTTGGCTCGTTCATGTGAATCATGTCATATCGGCCGCCCTCGAGCTGCGGCTGCTCCATCTCCAACTGCGTATCACGACGACCAGACGAAACCGCGCCCCCGCCGAAAAAGCGGCGCTCAGAACGGGTCCCCGGAGGTCACTCCTCATGAGAATCTCGTCTCTTGCCTCTGGTTTGCGCGCTCTTCCACGGCGAGGTCCACCACCAGAGGCGTCACGGTGTGATTGGAGCGCTTCCAGGAGAGCCCAGGCCAGTCTCTCACCACGAGACCATCTCTCCCCCCATCCACCAGATGGGAAATGCCCCGTCCCAACCCCCGGAAAGCTTGGCGCCACTCACAGCAGCTCGTCAAACCGGGCCTGGTCTCCGGCTGGGGCCCCGGTCCAGCTCGGGGCCCCAAAGCATCGAATGGGCGCGGGAGCATGTCACCGTCACTCGGTATACAGATGCCCCGTTCGCGTCTGAGGCCAAGGGAGAATTAGATGCCGAGCATGGTTCCCTCTGAAGCGCGCGATGGGACTGGTCAATTCGGGCGCAGGCGATGGAGAAACGAGACGAGCTTCCCAGAACAGACGAGCCCTTCCCAGCCGGCTGGAATCAGATATAAGTTGTGATCTTCCCCCCTTCAAGTGCAACGCTGTTCTGAAACCGCAGCATTCTCTTTTCTTGGTTCCCACAACTCAGAGGAGAAAGACATCCACCATGGCTCTCAGCCCAAAGGTATACCAGTTTCTGGTATGCGTCTTCGCATCCATCGGGTCTCTGCTCTACGGCTATGATCTCGGTGTTATTGCCTCGGCCATTGCGTCTCCCGACTTCATCTCCAAGTTTGGAGACGACTCCAAAGAGATGTACGTTTCCCCATTTGCATCCTCACTATATAGATAGACCTAGCTAACCATTGCGAAGCGGAGCTGTCGTATCAGCCTTTACAGGAGGAGCCTTCGTCGGCGCCGCGCTCGCTGGTCCTACCAGTGACAGACTCGGCCGCAAATGGACAATCATGATCGGTGCCCTCATCTTCTGCCTCGGCGGTGGCCTGCAGACAGGTGCCCGAACCATCAACTACCTCTACTCTGGCCGCGCCTTCGCCGGTGTCGGTGTCGGCTTCACCACTATGATTGTCCCCGTCTACCAGGCTGAGCTGTGCCACCCCAGCATCCGTGGTCTTGTCACTGGTCTGCAGCAGTTCATGCTGGGCATTGGTGCTTTGTGCGCTGCCTGGATCTCATGGGGTATGTCTCAATAATTTACCGTTTCCAATGCTCGATACTAACAAGACTACGTACAGGTACTTACATTAGCTTCCACGATGCGCGACAGTGGCAGGTTTCCCTGGGTATCCAGATCATCCCAGGCGCCATCCTCGGGATCCTCATCCTTCTCTTCCCCGAATCCCCCCGCTGGCTGATCGCCCACGGAAAGGAAGCAGAGGGCCTCAAGATCCTCGCCAGCCTCCACGCCGCCGGCGACGAGACCGACGCCTTCGTCCGCGCCGAGTTCGCCCAGGTCCAGGAGAGCATCTCCATCGACCGCGAGCAGGCGGCCGGCAGCTACATGGAGCTCTTCAAGGACAAGAGCTGCCTGCGCCGCCTCTTCCTCGCGTGCGCCATGCAGGCCAGCACCCAGATGACGGGCGTGAGCGCCATCCAGTACTACTCGGTCAAGATCTACGCCAAGATCGGCATCTCGGCCGACGACTCCCTCAAGTACCAGGCCATCTCGAGCGTGCTGGCCCTCGTCGCCCAGTTCCTCTGCATGATGTTCGTCGACAGGTTCGGCCGCCGCTGGCCCCTCATCATCGGAAATGTTGGAAACGGCATCACCTTCATCATCGCCACCATCCTCCTCGCCAAGTACCCGCCCGGCTCGCAGGAGGTCGGTGCGGGAGCCGCCGCCTGGGGTTTCATCGTCGTCACCTGGCTGTACAACTTCTGCTTCAGCGCCACCAGCGGCCCTCTCTCCTGGATCATCCCCGCTGAGATCTTTGACACCAAGACGCGAAGCAAGGGCGTGTCCATCGGCTGCATGACCTCGTTCGCCTTCAACACCATGATTGGCCAGACCACGTCCGTTGCTCTCGACGACAAGGGCGGAATCGGCTGGCGCTGGTACATCCTCTTCATCGTAAGTTCAGCTCCTTGCAAAACAGAAGCGTCAGAGATATTAACAAGCGATAGGTCTGTAACTTCAGCAACGCCATCTTCTTCTGGGCCTTCCTCCCCGAGACCGCCAGGCGACCTCTTGAGGAGATGCGATATCTCTTCACCGAGGCTCCCTGGTTCGTCCCCACCATGGACATGTCCAAGTTCAGGACCGGCGAGTCTCTCGAGAGGAAGGTCGAGGAGGTTGTTAATAAGGAAGTGGCGTAAGGGGGTTTCACCAATTTTGTGATGGCAGGTTTTGGCTTGCCATGGGAGAGTACATAGATACCCTAGGAGTTAGTATAATCCAACTGTATCAAGAAGCCGTGATCCACAGATACGTAGAAATAAGGCCCAAGCAACCGCTTCCTTACGATGTAGATATGAATGAACTATCAAGGCTCCTCCTAACGCCACGCTTGCTGAATGTCCCCCAAGCAAAAAGGGGGGGGGAACTCCATCACCAACCCAATCATCAAGTCTCCGTCATCTCGTCACTGATAACCTCCCTCGCAAACTGCGACACCAAGTCCCCCATCCGACTGAAAACACCATGCTCTACCCAGAAGTGACCCGCGCCGCTAATCTCCTCGCCTCGGAACCGCGAACCCTCCGCGCCCTGCATGCGATCCACCCACACGCGCAGCTTCCCAGCCGGAACAAAAACATCGTGGTCGCCATAAATAGCCAGGGTGGGATTGTGCCGCAGCTTGCCCTCCGCAAGCGAGCTGCCGGGGCTGCGCGACATGGTGGCGAGGTTCGAGATGAGTCCCTGGAGCGGGGAGATCAAGAGGTAGGCCGCAGATGGTCGTAGGAGATCTGGAAGCGACTGTAGCGTAGCATCCTGTGTGGGCGCCTCCGCAGTTGGGGGGTCGATTTTCCCGTCAATGGCGGACGCCGGAGCGGCAGGACGGTGGTGGTGCCGCGTTTTGGCGATGAAGTCTTGGACGCCCTTGCGCAGCTTCTCCTCGGCGTCGTCGAGGGAGAAGCTCCTCCGACTGTCGTGGCTCTTCCGGGGGCTGCTGCACTCTCCGACTCTGAGGCTGCGTCTCCCAGAGTACATTTGTAGGAGTTCCCTCTGTTGGGTGCCCAAGCTCTCGGCTCGTGCTCGGAGCAGACCGGGGGTCGACGCGATAGATGGGGAGGTGAACTGGGCGAGAATGGACGAGAGCGGAGGTATTTGCGTCGTGATCATGGCTCCGTACGAGTACCCTCCCATCAGGAGGATAGGACTGTCGGGATTCTGCGGTCTCGATTCGTGGTTGTCGAGGTAATGTATGTAGTAGGTGAGGAACCCAACGAGGGTCGTGTAGTCTTCACGTTCGGGTTTCGCAGACCATGACGTACGGCCTTCCGAGTTTGCAGCTCCCCTGTCCATCCAAACAGTTAGCAAAGATATATCTCTAGGCAATTGATTGACTTGGACATGGCAAGACCAAAGGCCTGGCTAACCTGAAATTGAATGTCGCGACAACGAAGCCGGCGCGTACGAGATGCCCCGCCACCTCCTCCAGCACCGGGTCATCGTAGCTCCCCCCAAGAGGCGCGTAGGGATGGCCCAGCACGGCGGCATGTTTGGGTCGCCATCCGGCTGCCGAGTTGGATGCCGCGAGGCCGAGAGGGTGGTAGATGCGGCAGTTGAGCGTGAGGTTGTCGTGTAAGCTCGGCAGGGTAAATGTCAGGGCGGGGTCGGGCAGATGCATCGCTTCAGTGTCTGTAGCATGATGGGATCACTCCTGGCAATTGGCGGGACTGGCAGGAGATGGCTGAGTTTTGTGCTTTCGCTGGACGGATGTTGGAGTTTGCCCCAAAACTCCGGAAAGTCTTAGAGCAGAAGTTGTTGCAAGCTTATCGCTTTCGGTTGGGGAGTGGGACAAGGGAAAACGGAATGCGACGTCATTTCAGGTCCTTATCGGGCACCTATTTACCACAGAGGGAGCTCGGGTTGGGTCGGCATAGAGCTCTCCCACGAGCTTACAAAAAAATAAAGTCGATTGTGATGAGCAATGAGCATGTGACACTTGGCAAGCTCTTTTGATGCCGTGATTTGCTATTGCTCACTAGGTATGCTTCAATTGCTTGCTGCTGATGGGGTACAGGGCCGAAGTGAAGCTTGAGGACGAGGACGATACTGGGATATCAAAGGCTATGCAATTAATTTTCCAATTTTTGATTATCTGATTTTCATAATATTACCCCCTCTATTATATCTAGTAAGTATGTCATGATAAAAGATTCATTACATCTTCGTACCCAGTTCTTCATTGGCTCTTCTTGTCTTTGGCCTCCTGGGCCCTCTGTTTCCGCGCTTGGAGCAGTCTCTTGATCTCCTTAATGGCCCCCATCACGAGCGGTACTGTTACTGGTCCCAGAAGCGGGAGATAGACGGCAATCTTGTGCTCGTCAGGGAAGTAGAGCTGCCCAACCATACTCTTCTCGAAGAAAGCTCTCTCCGCCTCTTCCTCGGCGATTCGGGCATGGTATAAAGCCTCGGAGCTACCAAGGCCGGCACATGCTTCCTCTAGATGCCGAATACTCTTGGCGACACCGTCAGCAACGTTGCGGGGGATGGCGATCGAAGGGAGGGACCGCGAAAGGCGCGCGAGCGAGCCAAGGGCGTCGGAGGCACGAAGTAGAAGGTCTGCGGATCGGATGCGGGATAGAGAGGACAGTCGGAGTGGGAGGGAGCCAGACTGGGGTGTTCCAAGAAGTGTGAGCAAATGACCACCAAAGGTGAGCATTGGTTGGCGGAGTGCATCCTTGGTGACATGACTGTTGGTATCAGGCTGAGAGAGCAAGTACACAGTACCCCACTGAGGAATCATCCAGGATTGTGATGTCTGGCCCTCGGAGTCGGGGAAGCCAATTGTCTGGTTGCCGATAAAGGTAAGGAAATTGATGGTCGGAGCACCGCCAATCGACGGGGAGAGAGGCCATTCGGCTGCGTTGATGAAAGATGCTAGATCGTCCTTAGTCAAGGTCTGTGACTGCACGCCGGGTGTAGCATAAAGCTGGACCTGGGTGTCGATTGTGAAATTGTGAATCGGCCCAAGCACATCCAGCAATGGCTTCATATATTCGTTGATGGCGGTGTCGATATCCCAGGTGGTGGGCGCGGGTCCGTCCGTGAAGAGGGAGAAGGTCAAGTGATAGGTAGGCGCATATCGGAGAGCGCGGGTTGCCCTCTTCTCCAAAGCTTCAACAACGGCAGGGCTCAGACCGGCTGGTTTCGAGGTCGGGGAGGAGGACAAAAGGTAAGAGACGATGGATTGCTCCTCAGCGAACGTGGACCGGAGCTCGGTCGCAATGTATGTTGTAAGCATGGACGAGGCGGAATGAAGCGGGGGTACGCTATTCAGAGGGTATGTGATATCTAGGGCGGCGCGGTAGGGATCGAGTGCGGCAGTCGTGGCATCACCGGGCTTCAAGTGAATGGATAGCGCGGAGTTGGGGTTCTGTTCGCTTTCGCGGGGACGGTCCTGCCTGGGGGCAAGCTGGAGGCGCAGGTGATGGCCAGAGAAGTCGTTGAGATCGTCAATGGCATGCTGGGCCAGTCGAACGAGATGGTTGGCTTCTTCTTCCTGGAGAGAATCGGCATGGACGGCGATTTGAATGGGGATGGCGGGTCGGCAAGCCTAGCACGAGGGGAAGAGGACGGTCAGCCGTGAGGGAGAGCTGTTGGATTGAGTAGCGCCTACCTTTCCATCTGCCCACTCTAGCATGCGATCCAGTGGCAGGTCGGCGCGATAGATGGTCGTGGTCTTCCACCAGAATGGCAGACCCAGGAAGACAACGAGCAGCCAGAAGGACAGGACGATGTAGCTTCGGCGGCGGATGGCCGTGGGCGTCTCTGGGGGAGGGGCCTTGATGGCGGGAGCGGCGGGAGCAGGAGACTCGGATGCGGCAGCGGACGATGCAGTGTCCTCCTGCGTCGGTCCTGATGGCGGAGGAGCCATCGCGCATACGTTTGGGGACGAGGATCGTCGACGGAGAGCGAGCGAGCGGTTGGTGATGGTGGAAGCTTATCTGGGAGAAGTGTCCATTTTCCCCAGGCGATGGAATTCTACGCGACACGCCCCTTGACTGGCGTCAGTGCCACAGGCCAGCTTGAGCCCTACAGCAGCTAACTTACAGGCCTGAACCCACCTGGAGGATCCCTAAACCCCACCGGCCGCCAATTAAGTTTAGCGCCCGGCTCCCCCTCAGGGGCATTAGACCAGTTGATATGTATTTAGGGTGGACTTGGTCCCTCTTCGATCTGACATGCAGAAAACTGCCATCTTTCTTATTCATCACGCAGCTGAGTCCTATCATCTTGTTGTACCGTCTTCCACTCTGGAGAACTCCCAAATACCCTATCTATGAGTTCAATATATGGAAAGGATGTTCGCTGTGTAAGCACACCATTACTACAGCAACCGTGTAACTAGAAGCCTAGCAGGCTGCAATATAAAAAATCAACAATCGACATGACTTGGCATTGATCTGAGGATTAGATTGGTGAGAAGGAAACCCGGAATCTCACCGCTCCGTTTCAAGTGCCCCTAGATTCAGGCAGCAATATTCTGGGTATTCGATTATATACTCCTATAGTGTGCCATCGTCTCACAACTAAACAACCCAAGCATTCAACTATTCCTTCAAAGCTACTGAAACGATGGATCAATATATTCTAGATAATGTCGACCGCTTTCACAAGCTGGTTCAAAGATGGAAACCTCAGCCAGCCTCAAAGCAGAGATCCTCCGCACAGGGATCTACCGAGACGAATCCCAACATGATCGTGGCAGCTCGACTAAGAGTCTTGCTAAAAGACGAAGTTGACCTTGGCCTGCCCCAGGCTGTCTTTCCTAGGCCATCAGTTCCGGGCGTACTGGATATACACGAGCTGAAAAGACCGGTTCGAGGACTGGCAGAGCTCCGGGTATAGAAGCCCTATTTTTTCTCACCCAGTTCTTCCTTAAACAGATCTGTTTTACTAATGATTTCTTTGAATGTGGACAGTCGGCGGACTTTCGCGTTGATCGTGCATATGGCCCTAATTCCACCACTGAGGACATATACACCGATATCGTGAAGCCATTGGTGCCTTGGGCACAGAACGGTGGCATTGGCACGCTCTTTGCTTACGGCCAGACAGGCTCGGGCAAGACGTATACGGTGAGCCGGCTTGAGAAGCTGGTCGCGGATGAGTTGTTGGGAGGCGAACACAACGAGGAGCGGACAATTACAATGGCTATGCTTGAGCTCGCGGGCAATGCAGCATACGGTAAGTTTTTAGAGAGAAACCCAGACAGTTCTCGCAATTCTAACTGGTGATTCCCTGCAGATCTGCTCAACAAGCGTGGACCTATTTCCATCCGTGAGGATGCTTTTGGCGTCATACAGCTCAGCGGCGCTCTCGAACACCGCGTCTCAACCACCAGCGAGATGCTATCTTATATTGAAACAGCCACGGCGCTGCGCCGAACAGAGGCTACGGACAAGAACGACGCCTCGTCGCGGTCGCACGCCATATGCAGGATTCGCATTCAGCAGAAACCCGACGCCCCAGATGATGACGCAGATGGGATGCTCTACCTCGTCGATCTTGCTGGATCCGAGGCGGCCAGAGATACCACCAATCATGACACACAGCGGATGCGCGAGACTCGCGAAATCAACGCCAGTCTCTCGGTGCTGAAAGACTGTATCAGAGGTAAAGCTGAGGCGGACACGGCTGCCGCGGATGCGTCGTCCAAACGGAAGCCTCACGTCCCGTTTCGACAAACGCCCCTGACCAAGATCTTGAAGCACGTCTTTGACCCGGCGGCTCTCCGAAATTGCAAGACTGTCGTCATAGCTTGTGTGAATCCGTGTATTCTAGACTCCATACCGAGCAGGAACACACTGCGGTACGCGGAGACACTGAGAGTGATTGTGCCCAAGGTCGTTGAGATCAAGTATGATGCCAAAGTTCCCAGAACGTGGGATAATAAGCAATTGAGATCATGGATACGGAGCAATGTGAGTTGATTCACAACCCTTTTTCGTCAGACCCTGCCGTGACTTATCCTCTGCCTCTCCGTCTTGAAGCTGACCAATTGATATATAGTCTGGCTCGCCTCCTGTCGACGCTTCGCTACTCGCGCCTTCAGAAACAGGAATTCAGATTCTACGCCTCGACCCATCAGAATTCCAGGATCGTTGTGCACAGACTCCCGGCGTGACCGCCCAGCAGGCCATGCTGTTCTACAACAAGATTTGGGAAATGCACATCGACTCTCAGAGAAACCGGCAGCTGTCGTCAAAACCAAAACCAAAAGCCATAACTGTCCCAAATACCGGAAGCCGCCCAAGTGCCACGCCAGATCCGCTCGAACAGCGTTCTAGTCAAGATACCAACCCAGGGGCATCTTCTATCCATTTCAAAGAACGAATTCGTCCCGGGATGGTGGTCTCGTGGACACCGCCCCCTGAACTTGCTGAGACTCTGCCGGGCAACAAAACCCTCGCCCTTATTCTCTGTCCAGCGTCCGCCACGGGACCACATGCACGGGATTACCAAGGCAATCCCGTTCAAGCTGAGCCGGGTGAGAACGGAGGTGATTCCGCAAGCTACCTGTGCGCTCTTGTCATGGCGAAGAGTAACTCTGAGACGTATGAGATGAATTTGTGGCAACAGGTCGTCATTCAAGTAGGTCAGATGACTGGCGAGGTTATTCTAAAATATGACACTGTCGGTAGGAACTGGCTCAACCATGACTCGGACGTAGATTAGGTGTGCTACATAATCGCGTTGCGAGGACAACAGGGGATCTCACCATCCTCTATAATCCGCGGTAAAACAGATTTGACAGCACCACAAGCAAATAAATCACTCATTGTTTAGGTCAAAATTTCGAACCGAGACACCAAAATTCATGTACTATTACACACGATTGTGATGCATGTTGGTTCCTTGGGGTTTGTGTCTTGGGACCACGAAGGGAAGGCGGCATGTAAACTCCGCGGCTGTACTGTGATCCCTGCTGGCGATTATAGCAACGTGATTGAACTGACATAATTGACACTAAAACTGAATAGATAGGCGCAGATAATAAAAATGTATCAGACCTTTTGCTTACATGTCAGAACGAGCATGTAGAAAGGGTAAGAGACACCTGGATTTGGTAAGAGCCCAATCATTGCAAAACTGTTATATGCTCTTATTTGATAAATCAACAAGACATAGCCAAAATTTGGATCATTAGAACATGTCAAGAGCAAGGCATAGATAATTCGCAATATCACGTTCCGCCTTAATCGGAACACTTCAGTGATGCTTCAAGCCGACGAAGATATTGACATTCAAATGATGGAGATCAGATTGTCCCTGCCGGCAGAAGGTTCGTCTCCGTACTTATTGTTCCCTTATTACTGCAATAGGATGAGTATTCCGTTTGGACGCTGTGTATTGACATTGATTGCGTGCGCTGCGATGAACATCACCCAGACAACCATTTCATAAATGGTCCAACGGATTTGGATCCGTGAATCTGACATTACCTCTCACAACTATAGAAAGTAACAGGCGAAGTAGGGATTTCGATTTACCAATCATTTCGATTCTAATGCAGATGCAAGGCGTCACGTGTTGATGTTCCCCGCCCAGTCTTACCAACATAATTGCACATTCTGACGAGGTAATTTAATGGAAATCATATGTTTGTAGCATGAAAGTGACGCAGTCAGTTTGAACTGTCTTTCAGAAGAACCTCGAGATACTGGATCATGTCTAGCGCTCTCTCTTTACAACAGCGAGACCCTCCGGTGTCATCTCCCACTTTGTTGCCTGCCTCCAAAGATGATCGCCGCCAAACATGGAGAATTCGTGGTGTGCCCAAATCTTTCGACAAACGCAGACTAGCAAAAGAGTTACAGCAGCATCTACAGCTGCAACATGCGACCAGCTCTAGCGAGAGCCCACAGGACAAGGAGGATATTGATATCAAAATCCATTCCCTAGCACCCGACCTCAATCGCTCCCAGGTAGCGACCGCCACGTTTGGAACGCTTCCGCCACAGCTTTGCAATCTTGAAACCGAAAAACAGCTGTCGATTGAATTGCTGATATACCCCGAGGAAATGAATGATGGCCTCAAACGGAAAAGACATTCCCCCCATATGGTCAAGATCACGGTGGATGGCCACTTCCACGGACTTACCGTACTCTTTTCGCCGACCGAGGAAGATCATGAACTTGATATTGTTGCAGTCTCTGGCCTAGGGTCCCATCCGTTCGGATCATTCATGAATAAAGAGGATAGACATATGTGGTTACGTGACCAGCTGCCAAGAGACATGCCTCATGCTCGAGTCATCATCTTTGGTTATCCGAGCAGTTTGAAAGACAGCAATAGTTTTGCTGAACTCGGTGATCTCGCTGGGCTGCTTCGGACAGAATTGATTCGGGTAATACAAACTAGCAAGCCAAACCGAGTTGTCCTTGCGGGTCACAGTCTTGGCGGGCTTCTGATAAAGCAGGCACTGATTCAAACTGCCGGCTCTCCTGAAGAACAACTGATACGTTCCATCCAAGGACTGCTTTTCTTCGGGGTTCCAAACGACGGGATGAATGTCGAATCTTTCGTTCCCATCGTAATCAATCAGCCTAACCTGTCACTCGTTCAATCGTTGCGCTACATAAACTCCCAGATTTTAACTGATCAGAAGGGACACTTTTCAAAGATCGTTGACAAGTATAAAATGAATATCAGATGCTTCTATGAGCTGAGAACTTCACCAACTGCTGAAAAAGTTGGTATATTGCCTATTGAAGCGTGGGACTTTGGCTGACCAATAATGAATTTGAAGCAGGCAAACGGAGAGTATAAAATGACGGGGCCTCTAGAATGCCTCGTGAGCCGTGCTTCGGCGACGAGTTGTCTGCCTGCGTCTACTTCCACCATTTATTCTATCGGACTCAACACGAATCATTCAAATCTCGTAAAATTCGCTACCTGCGACGATAATTATGAGAGAGTCCGGCATGTGCTCAGCCAAGTATGCCAGCTCTCTCTAGACTCAAGAGTGATACCTCAAGAGCCTGAAACCCAAAGTTTGTTTGTGATATGAGCAACGACTCACATGTCCATTGCTAACATCAACAGGTCAAGCTCAAGTTAACTCCTGCCTGAAAGAACTGGGATGGACAAATCCCCACGACGACCGAGAACGGATCAAAGTAACTAAGGGTGGCCTCTATGATAATTCATTTCGTTGGATTCTGAAACACAAAGATTTCAGAAAGTGGAGAGGTGACGATCAAAGCAGACTGCTCTGGATCAGAGGCAATGCCGGGAAGGGAAAGACGATGCTCTTGATTGGGATATCAGATGAGCTGGTCCGCCATCACCTATCTCACTCTTCAGTATCGTTCTTCTTCTGCCAAAATTCCGATCGTCGTCTAAACAATTCCGTTGCTATATTAAAGGGACTGATTTATCTGCTTCTCCTTCAGGAGAGCCGGCTCATTTCACATTTGAAGACCGAGTGTGATCGAAGCGACAGCAGTAAATTCGAGGGACCAAACGCTTTCTTCGCCCTATCTACAATATTTCGGAAAATGCTTAAAGATCGAATCCTCTGTTATCCAACTCGGAAAACCTTGTTCTTGATCGTTGATGCACTTGACGAGTGTGAGTCAAAACTGAGTGACGTCTGTGGACTCATTTCTAAGACAATGGAAGAGTCATCTGCCCGTCTCAAGTGGATTGTGTCGAGCAGAAACAAAACAAGAATCGAGCAGTTGCTTGCAGAAGCTAGTGGCATGGTGTGCCTAGATCTGGAGGAGAACACCGATCCTATTTCGGAAGCTATTCAAGTTTACATTGATTGGAAAGTCTCGAATATAAATTTGCTACGAAAGAACCGAGTTTCACGAGAAAAGGTGTCAAAGATTTTGCATACGAAGGCAGATGGCACTTTTCTATGGGTAGCTCTCGTCATCCAAGAGCTCCTCGAAGTCGAGGTTTCATCTGAAATTTTGGTTGTTCTCGAGGACTGTCCGGCCGGGCTGGATCAAATATACGAGAGAATGCTGAAACAAATATCAGAGCACAAAAGAAATGGCCCTGAAATGTGCCGGCGCATCCTATCCACGGCAGTCTTTGCATACCGACCGCTCCATTTGCATGAGCTCCATGTCCTTTCTGGACTTGAGAAGTATAATTCAAAAGTCAATGATATAAACGAGACAGTCCTTTTATGTCGTTCGTTTCTGACCGTCAGAGAAGACCATGTTTATCTCATCCACCAGTCAGCCAAAGACTTCCTAACAGGCACATCTCCCAAAAACACTTTTCGTTGCGACCCAGAGAAAATCCATGATGACCTATTCCGAAGATCAATAAAAGTAATGGGAGGTGTTCTGAAGCGGGACGTATACGATTTAATCCTTCCTGGAATCACCATTGACGAGGTCAGCCCACCGGATCCGAACCCTTTGAAGGAAGTAAAGTACTCCTGCGTCTATTGGATAAATCACTACTGTGACTCTAATAGAGATGACGTGTGTACGGCCGCACAAAACACTACGACCAGCAGCGATGTTATTGTCCAATTTCTCCAGGAATTTCTACTCAACTGGTTTGAGGCTTTGAGCCTATTACATTGCCTTGACGACGGAGTTCGCTCAATAAGAATGCTTGAGCAGTTTCTAGTAGTAAGTATTCAACGGGTGCGAATAATATAGTCAAGTAGCCAAATTGACCAGTGACAGGAACGCCAAAAATTATCTTCACGGCAACTAGGTGCGCTCGTTTATGAGTGTCGACGTTTCCTTCTCCAGAATAAATGGATGATTGAGAAGGCCCCACTGCAGACGTACGTTTCCGCTCTCTTATTTAGCCCAAGCGAGAGCAGAATACGTGAAATTTTCCGAAATGAGGAGCCGAACTGGATAGGAATCAAGCCCAGAGTTGAGAACAAATGGAGCCGATGCCTCCAGACTTTGCAAGGCCTTGGACCTGAGGTTCACACTATCGCCTTCTCCTGTGATTCGAGACTGATGGCTTCTGGATCTGAACGTTCAACAGTCTGTGTCTGGGATCCAGAGACAGGCTCAGAGCTACCAAAACTGACTGGTCACAAGTGGGCGATTCTCTCTGTCGCCTTCTCGTACCATGAAGCAAATCTGCTGGCCTCTGGGTGTCAATATGGCTCGATCCGGCTCTGGGATCTAGAGACTGGCACAGAGTTGAAAAGGCTAGAGGATCATGATGCTTGGGTTCACTCTGTTGCCTTTTCACCGAGAAATCCAAATATTCTAGCATCTGGGGGGTCCGACAAGACTGTCCGGCTCTGGGACCTGAAGACATTGCAGATACGAAGGTTAAGGGGCCATGAAGACAGCATACGTTCGGTCGGCTTCTCGAATCACAATATGAATTTGTTGGCGTCCGGATCTGATGACGGGTCAGTCAGGGTCTGGGATCTAGACAAAGGATCCACTCTGCACGTTCTGAAGGGCCACAGTCGTTGGGTCAACTCTGTTGCCTTCTCCGACATTTCTAAAGTGCTAGCTTCTGCATCTGGTGATAAGACGATCCGGCTCTGGGATTCCGAAACAGGCTCGGCGTTGAGGATCCTTCAGGGCCATAGCCGTGACGTTAGGGCAATTGCCTTCTCTGACAATTCACATATTTTAGCTTCTGGATCGACTGATACCACGATGCGCCTCTGGGACACCGAGACAGGATTAGAGCTACAGAAGCTAGAGGGTAACGGGGACATGATCGAAGCTGTTGCATTCTACAATTCAAAAGTGTTGGCTTCTGCGTCTTCTAATGGCACGGCTCGATTCTGGGATCTAGAGCCAGCCTCAGAGCCAGCCTCAGAACCAGAGAAGTCGGCGCGGATTGAGGTTACTGAATTTTCGCATGATGCCAAGATTTTAGCTTCGGGGTCTTATGATGGCACGATCCGTCTTTGGGACCCAAACACAGGATCAGTGCTTCGCGAATTATTTGGCCACCGGAACGATATTTTAAGTGTTACCTTCTCATGCGATTCAAAATTGCTCGCCTCTACATGCAGAGATCGGACAGTCAGGGTTTGGGACCCAGAGACAGGTTTGAAGGTGTGCAAATTCGATGGCTGTCAATGGCCAATTGCGTTCTCATACAATTCAAAGCTACTTGCCTCTGGGTCCAGAGATTCAACAATCACAATCTGGGATCTGGGGAACGGCTCAAGGCGACAAACTTTATATGGAAATGGAACATTGCTTAGTCAAATGTCCTTTTCATTCGATTCAAAGTTTCTTGTCTCTAAGTCTCGTGTTGAAACATTCCTGAACATACTCCAGATCTGGGATCCAGTGAAGGGTTCAATGCTGCACAAGCTAGAATTGGGCGGGATTTGTCGGTCTATTTCCTTTTCAATTGACTCAAAGCTACTAGGTGTTGAGATTAATAAGGGGCCAGTCCATCTTTGGAATACGAAGACGGGCACAGTCTCAGAATCCTCCCAAGCGAATCGCCTAGATCAGATCCAAGGATTCCCAAAACCTTTGAGCGCGAGCATTAGTCCCTCGTACATCACTTTCATGGGGCACCGCATTATATGGCTCCCTCCAGACCATCAATATTCTGGCTATGGAGGCAGCGTAAGTGCCGAAACTCGGGAGAGTGAGCCCGCGATGGTCAAAATGGCTCTGGGGATGCCATCGGGTAGAGCTAAGTTCATTGGAGTTTTAGTTTCAGAGCTATCAGCTGCATTACAGATGCCGTCCTCGACGGGGAGAGAGCGAAGCTAATTACAGGATATTCACATCTGACCCTTGTTTCTTGTCTTGTTCTGGCATTTCGCCGTGAGGAAGAAGCAGGTTCGTTGACCATGTCTGAGACTTGTGCAGAGTAATACAGATGCATAAGATTAATTAATACACCGCTGGAGGCGTGACTCCAAGCGGCAATTAAACCAATCCCAGTTCGTGCTCCCCCGACAGTAAGACATCCATCGGACAATCAATAGAAAAATATTTGATCCTTCAAAATCTCTTAGTTACACCGCACCAGCCAATGCCCGCGTGTCTCTGTTCGCCGCCGTCATGTGAGGCGTTGCTTCATGTCGGAGTACCACAGGCTATAGCTCAGTCCATGCGCTCAACCTCCATCATGAATGAAACAATGGAGAACTGTTGTCGTCCTTTTGGGTGACGAAACAAGCTATGGTTCATTCTACGCCTCTTTACCGTTCATCTCCAACTCTCCCCCAGCCAAGCAGAAATACGTATGTAGATCCCCCCTGGGACTGAGAGTGGCCCTTCCCCGCACTCTCATCTAGCTCTTCGAATGCATTTCCTAAAGCGGTGCGACTCACCTCCGCGAGCCTCGGCAAGTCAATTCAGCTCTCTACATACAGACAAAGCGAACGGTGAATCCGCTCATCCCGTCCAACACATTGAAGCTGCGGTGCCTCGGGTTGTGCCACAACTCCACGCCCCTGTTCACATAGAGACTGAACACCGCCTTGTCCAACAAGACATTTAGGGCCTGCTTGTTTGCTTGGCCTCGGTCCTAATATGCTCCCCGCTCTCCTCTACCTCGCCCTTCTAATGCTACCGCTGCCCTCTGCTGCTTGTCCCGTCGTTCCTCTGTCCATGTCTGATCTGAGTCTGTCTCGTGCAACCAACCCGCTGTCCCATGCCATAACCGCGTAAATACTATCTGTCTCTGGACACACCTCATTGAGCAACGATACTATTCCCCGAGCTCCGGCTGCCCAACCCTGTACTCGTGTTGTACAGTTTGCGATTGAATGGTTCGTGCTATATATAAATAAGAATATTTATATATCCAACACATCTAGTTTCCTCTACCTTGATACAACGGCGGCAGCTACTTGCTCTGCTCGCCATCAATAATGCCAGGTTCGTGGCCCATTCCCTAACAACTTAAGCCCAACACCCACCTCCATTTATAAGCTTCTCAACACCAACACGCCCATCGTTCATCTCCATGCAGTCTCCCTCGCCTCCGTGGCCGCCCCGGCCGCAGCCATCGCAGCAGCAGCCTACATCAACGCCAAGGCGTCCGTCTGGTGGGATCTCAACCTCATCGGCGGCTCCCTCACCTCCTCCGCCCGCTTCCTCTACCGCCAGCATGCCGACCGCCTCAACACCTTCTACATCCTGGAGCGCTGGGCCCAGTCCGCCTCCCACGCCGACAAGCCCTTCGTCCTCTTCGAGGGCCGCTCCTGGACCTTCGCCCAGGTCTACGATAAAGTCCTGCGGTACAGCACCTGGCTGCGCCTGGCCCACGGCGTCCGCCCGGGGCACATCGTCGCCATGGACCTCCAGAACTCGGACCAGTACGTCTTCGTCTGGTTCGCCATCTGGGCGCTAGGGGCCAAGCCCGCCTGCATTAACTACAACCTGCAGAGCAAGCCCCTGATTCACTGCATCAAGGCCTCGGACGCCAAGCTGTGCATCATTGACACCAATGTTGCCTCCAACTTTGACGACGAGGTCCGCCAGGAGCTCGAGGGCGTCACCTGTCTCGTCTTCACTCCCGAGGTGGAGATCGAGGCGTCTGCCGCTGAGCCTCTCAGAGTCCCAGACGAGGACCGCTCACAGAAGTCGTACACCGAGATGGCCATGCTGGTCTTCACGTCCGGCACCACGGGTCTGCCCAAGCCAGCCATTGTAAGCTGGGCCAAGTGTATCGCCGGCGGAACGATGGGCCAATCGCTCATAGGCATGAGGAACGACGACATCGTATACACCGTGAGTCCCCCCTTTCTCCCACCCTCACCTATTCCAATACTTACCCCGACAGTGCATGCCCCTATACCACTCCTCCGCGGCCGTCATCTCGTTCCTCACATGCCTCGAAACCGGCACCACCCAAGCCATCGGCCGCAAGTTCTCAACACGCACCTTCTGGGACGAAGTCCGCGCCTGCAACGCAACAATCATCCAGTACGTCGGCGAGACCCTCCGCTACCTCCTCGCCACGCCCTCCCAGCTCGATCCATCCACCGGCGAGAACCTAGACCACCGCCACTCAGTCCGCATGGCCTTTGGCAACGGCCTCCGCCCGGACGTCTGGGCCCGCTTCAAGGACCGCTTCGCCATCGACACCATCGCCGAGCTCTACGCCGCCACCGAGGGGCCCTTTGGCACCTTCAACCGCAGCTCAAACCCCTACGCCGAGAACGCCATCGGCCGCTTCGGCACCCTCTACAACGCCCTCATCTCCCGCAACGTCGCCCTCGTCGCCGTCGACTGGGACACCAACTCCCCCCGCCGCGACCCGTCCACCGGCTTCGCGACCAGAGTTAAGCCCGGTGAGCCGGGCGAGGCGATCTTCCGCCTCCCCGCGGACATCAACACCCGCTTCCAGGGCTACTACAAGAACCCCCAAGCCAACTCCTCCAAGATCCTCCGCGACCTGTTCCAAAAGGGCGACGCATGGTACCGCACCGGCGACGTCCTCCGCTGGCAGAGTGACGGCCTCGTCTTCTTCCACGACCGCATCGGCGACACCTACCGCTGGAAATCAGAAAATGTCTCCACGGCAGAGGTCGCCCAGGTCCTCGGCCTGCACCCCTCCGTCCGCGAGGCAAACGTCTACGGCGTCCAGCTGCCCCACCACGACGGCCGCGCCGGGTGCGCCGCCCTCAGCATCGACCCTTCCTCTGGCGAGAACGAGGCCGCCACAATGGCCAGCCTGGCGGCCTTTGCGCGCAAGTCCCTCCCGCGGTACGCCGTTCCCCTGTTCCTGCGCGTCGTAGACGGCGAGCCGGGGGGGCACGCGACGGGGACGATGAAGCAGCAGAAAATGGATCTGAGGAAGGCGGGCGTGCGTCCCGGTGGCGAGGGGAGGCTGTACTGGCTGGGCGAGGACGCGTACGTGCCGTTTGGGGAGAAGGAGTGGCGCGAGCTGGAGGGCGGGCGGGTGAAGCTATGATTCTATTGACCGTCGATTGCGGTCATGGCATTCTCCAAACTCATGTTCTTGTATTTTTTGAGTCACTCGGTTCTCCCTGGCGTAAAAGCGTGTCTATGTCGTTATTTTTACCGGTGAGGGTTATATTCTTAGCTGAGTAGCTGGGTTGGTAGTTGAAACCACCCCCTTTTTAAGAAGCTATGTATGTAGCTAGTCCGAGCCTCAGTTAGCTGGACCTCATGTCATTCGTGAGCCCCTATGAACAATCTATACATCCCTAAGCAAGGAGAGCGGCCGGTTCAGCAAAGGAGGGAGAGAATGCCAAGCATCCATCTAATTAGCATTTGGCCCAAATAATTAACAGACGAATTCTTGGCTTCCTCTTTGCTGACGTTGTTGGTCAAATTCCCTTCCTTCCCCTTCCCTCCATATATCTTCCCTTCTTTCCCCTTTCTTCATCCTATGGTCACAATATGATATGATATTGATGTTAGATGACGGTCATGCTGTCGTTTCCATGCAAGGCTACCTAGCCAAAAAAAAAAAAAATGTCCCTGGGTAATCATCCAGTTCCTCCATGATCCAATCCCCATACCCAAGTCTCCATCACATCCAAAATTTACATCATTCCGAAAATAATAATTTATTCTAGAAAGGGAGGAGTTCCTCGTGATATGCTTTGAAAAATCGAGAGCCCAAGATCATGCAAAAATATTATGCAGGAGAGAAATAGAGACGTTCAGTCGTGTCTCCTTCGTGTCAAGACCTGAAAGATATCAAGAATCGCAGGTTCCCCATTACACCCATATCGCCTTGGGAACAAGTAAAAAAATATGTCGTCCAGATTAGAATAGTGTGCGCCCATCTTCTTTCGTTATTCATGGCCCAGCAATGCCGAGGCCCACTCGTGGGTTCGTGCCGTATCCTCCAGGCATGGCGGACGCGCTCATTCCCATGGTGCCTGTGCCTGTGCGCTCACGCATCCTACGGCCCTCCATAAGGCCCCGAAGTCCACGTTTCTGCAGGCCAATAACGCTGCTGAGCTCGCCGTCCCAGACCGGGGCGTTGCGCCGATCGTAGCGATCACCACCAGCCTCGGATGAGCTTATCTCGGAACCGCTCACACTGGTAGTAGCTGACATCTCATCACTCGAGGCTCGGCTAGGCGGGGCATCGGTGTCGATAGTTAGACCAGCAGTGCGGGTCTCGAGGCCGGAGGAGAATGATGACCCGGCACCATTGGATATCATGCCAGAAGCGGCCGTGGTGCCGCCAAGGGAGAAATCGGATGTGCTCCTTGGTGCGCCGATGGGATCGAGGATGCCGACGTAAAAGTTGGGGTTGAGACTACCATCGATACCCCGTCCACCACCAGCAGCCATGGCAGTTGCGTTGAAAACAGCTGCTGCATTGCGGCTATCAAGCAGAGAGTGCAACCGTTCAACAACCGCCTCGAGCAGACCATCGACACGGTAGGGCCGCGCGATCTGCAAGAGCGAGCACAGAATCTGAGGAGTGCACAGCGGTGACGACGGTGGCGGAAGTGAGCTTGTATACACAAAGTGAAGCAGAGCCTGGATAGTCAGATAGGTATGCGGCATGTACAGGCACCGGGGGCGCGAGGTGGGTGGCAGAGTCTTGGGTGTGGGAGTGCCGTTGATGTTGCCGGCGTTCAGATCGTCGCCCAGCATACCCCCGCCATGAATACCAGCCATGGATCCAGACGATGAGGCCAGGGAGGCGCCAAGGCCGTCGTTGCTGCTGCTTCCTGCGGTATGGCTATTATTCGGAGTTATCGTAATGGCGGACGCGCGGAGCGGGTTGCTTGAAAGGCCGGATCGCAACGTCAAAGCGTCACTACCATCCTGCGTTGCGGTGCCTTCGCGAAGCAGCTGCACAAAGTAAGGTCCCCATCGCCGGGCCACTATCCTCGAGTTGATCGAGATCCGTTCGCCCCCTATGCAGAGAATATCCATGTCTGAGATCTCCCGCATCGCGAGCGCCTTCTCGCCCAATTCTTCACTCGCCCGTGAATGAAATCGTCCACCAGCAGTGTAACCAGCCTTGCGCACCAGGTTCAACCCATCGACGTTGTATGGGCTGCTGGAAGAGACAAAGCCGGAAAGAGGGCTAATCTTGCGAGGGTTGTCGTAGAAGCCAAAGGCCTCGAGCTCAACCATGCAGATGTTCGAAAAGTTAATTCGGCGATGATTGTAGTCATCAACAAGACTCCGCTTCCGGTTGCCCAAAATTACGAATGTATTGCGTCGGTTCCATAACACACCTCTGTTCCAGCTCCCTTGGCTGAAAACGTTGCCGCCCGCATCGATTCTTGTCCATGTCAACGTCCGTAGATCCAATGCCCACAGGGCATATTCCTGCTTGGAGGAGGTGAGGTATGTGCCGCTGACAACGAAGTTGGTATCGATTATGCCGCCATTGGGAAATCGCAGACCGGGCGGTGAGTAGGTGCCGGACATGGGGCGCTCGTGCAACGATCCATCTGCGGTGCGGATCTGCAGTTCCAGCTTGACATCGAGGAAATTGTAGTTGGAGTATATCAACATAGAGGATCCCGTATCTCGTGTCTCTGCGGCGGCCTCGGCGGCTCGCCCGTAGCCGTTCTGATATGCTTTGCCGATCTTGGCTGTGACATTTGCCGGCAGAGGCGTGGCAACGCTTCTGTAGGCACCGCAGCTCTTTCCTAGGGGCTGGGTTGACGTCCATTTGAGACTTCGCAAGTTGAAAACGCTGATTTCCTCGATGTAGTGGTTCGCACCGTCCTGGCCGCCCACAATCACCATCTCCGCGCCGCCAGCACCATCGATGTTGATACCTATGCGGCCCTCGTTGGGGTTGCCCGTCGATGAAGGGTTGTGTTGCAGTGATGACAAGGGTGCGCGGTGAGAGGAGAAAGTAGCCGAGGAAGGAAGAACGCAAGCGCAGTGGGCGTATCGGCCCTGAGGAGATTCCGCAGTCGGAATAAAGGTCCATTTCCTCGAAGGAACGTCGTAAATGTAGATGTCGGACATGACGGTGACCTCAGGCTGAGGCTGCTGCTGCGAGGGATCCGTGGTCTGCAGCTGGCTTGGAACCGGTGACATGCCTCCGTAGCACACCATCTTGGTGTCACCCAGCGCACACATGGAGTGGAAATAGCGCGGCGGTGGTACATCTCCAGTTGTCTCGAGCTTTGTCCAGTGGCGGCGGATAAGGTCCAGTTCGTACATGTCGGAGGTAAGGGGCGCAGGGCGGCTGCGAGACAGAATCCGACCGCCGAAGACGTACAACTTGTCTCCTAGGATGGTCGTCGTGGCACCCACGAGAGGGTGAGGCTCTCGCCCTGTGGTCCGATGGACGTTGCACATGAGTCCGGAGAGATGTGAGGAGGCCTGCATCGAGGAGCCTGGCTGTCGAGGCTGACCCTGTGCAGGCGTGGCTGCACCATTACTTCGGGAGATCGCCTCCCGCTGTGATGGCTCCTCACCGCCGTTGTCTCTTCCCGCTCCGTCGGCCCTCATCGCGGCCATGCTGCCGTTGACGTCGTGCACGTATTGGTCTTGACCACCGTAGAGCTGCCCGGCGGCAGCTGGATCGTTGGGATCCATGTCTGTGGGATGCAGGATTGCGTGCAAATCGTCGATGTTCTCGTATTGCGACTGGGCGTCCTCCGGGATTGGAGCAGGATATGGGGGTGGCTCTGGTAGAGGCTTATCGAGAGTCGTCGGTGGCACGTTTAGAATTTTCGCATCACGGCCCGTCGAAGGGGGTGTGTCCCTGGCGTGATCTACGGGGCTCGCCTCGGGCCTCGACCCGATGTTTCTGAGGTTGAGAAGAGAAGTGCTTCGTGCGAGCCTGCCCTTGGGTATCTTCTTGAAGGAGCGGTAAACGCCGGAGAGAATATCGGGGGTGTAGCGCCCGGTGATCGTCGGGGACGTCGTCTGGTTGAGGTGGTCTTGTTCGGTGTCAGAGTCGGACAGTCGAGAGAGGGGGGGGTCTGTGGAGGTTTTCTGGGCACTGGTCAGTTCTGACATGGTCAAAAGCGGCGAGCTGATATAGCCCGCAGCTCAGCAGCACCAACGACACACAACCCAGGAAAAAAAGAAAGAGGGGGGAACGAAGAGAAGAAGATCAGAAGCGAAGTAGAAGTGACAAGTAAAATGAGTAAAAGAAATAAAATAAGAATTAATCGACCATGCCAATGGAAATTACTAAAGCAGGACGAGAGTACAAAGGGAGCAGGGCTCAAGGAGGTAAGTGGAAAGGAAAGCTGTCAAAGACGAGTCATCCTCGAGACATCGCTGGGCCACATACACCACTTGCAGCAACTTGCGGCAATGAAGCAGAGCCACTTAGTATTGTATGGGAGGGGGGTTGGGCGGACGGAGGATCGCCAGACTTGCCAGATAGAAGAATAGAATCCAATTGAGCCAGGGGGGCGGAGTGAGGAACACCCACGGATCAATATTCTCGGATAGTACCTCCACCAGGCTGACAAGGGGTTTGGGACGGAGAGCTTGATTGTCGGGGGTGGTTTCAAATAGAGGTCACCGTCTGCTCGCCGGCCATTGACATCACTGGGATCAGGGGAAGAGGGACCTGAAGAACCTCAGACGAGCCAGGACCGTTCGCCAGGGTTTGGAAAACGTGTGTCCCCAGCCAAGAGGAGCACCGTGAAGCCAGAGCACATGCAGGAAAGGGAAAGAAGGAGGGAAACGAAACGGGCAGAGGGGCCAGAAGAGGAGGGATCCGTCGCCGGGTTGGGGTGATTGGAGGGGTGGTTCAGTCTCTCTGCCCATCCAGTGCGACCTGAATGGCGTTGTTTGAATATACGTACATAGCGTCAGGCCGTCAGGCAAATGGACCCGGTAGGATCGCAGCGAGCGACGGCGTACTTGGACCAGAGGTTGAATGGAGCGGGCTCGGCGAGGGGAGTGCGCGGAGCGAACCGACGTCGTGGTAGTCGCACGCGGGCGGGCGTGATGAGGCGGCGGTAGCGGTCGCGGAGGGCAGGTGGTGGAGGACGAGCAGCAAAGACGAGACACAGAGGTCTGCAGAGGCTTCGGAGGGGTCGTGATACATTCGTCGATCTGGCGGGCTCACTTCCACATCGACCCTGGTAACGGTGAGCTGGGTGGACAGAGGGTTGTTGGGACCATGAACTGGACTTGTCCAGAGCCACACAAAACGCTACCTCTCCTACTAGGAAGGCTGACGGAAGGCGGTGGGTGGATAAGCGCGACGGCTGCTGGATGGGCCTGGTGTGGGGAGACGAGACCAGGACAAAACAAGGAGAGGATGTAATGGTATGGAGCCCAGAGCTGGGCAGGGAAGCCAGCAGGAGCAGGGGTCGGCGGTCGTTGGGAGGTTTGTATTAGTAGAGGATGTGAGATGCACAATTACCGTGCCGCTGTGGTGAATCCCGCGCGCAGGTGAGGAGGGAGACTGATGTTGGCCAGCCGTCGTCGTCGCCGCAGAGGGGGAGATGTCGACAGGAATTCAACCCATCTGGCGGGACGGGGCTTGTCTTCTCCCAAGGTGGTACCAATGACAACAGCCTTGGGAGAGGGCGAGACGCCGCTAGCCTGGACGAGCTAGGAAGAGGAGGGTTGCGGCATGGAGGCAACCAACAGGAGGAGTACATGGCTGGATGGAGGTTTCCAAAATCCATCCATCCTCATGCCTGCTGCCGGTACCCAGAGGTGAGGTAGCTCCAGGCGGTAAGTGGTAGCAGTGGAGGTGCTCAACCGCTAGGCAGGCGGCTAGGCTGCCTTAGCTGCCTCCACGGCCACAGCATCCAGATGGCCGCAAACGAACATGCCTTGTGCGAAGCTGCGTCGATAGCTGCTTCGATACTCTACACAGCACATGCCTATCTACCTACTTGCTACCTATAGGCATGTACTGACCTGCTATCCCAACTTGGCACTTCCCTGGCGCAAGGTGACCTCTGGGCCCAGAAGCATCCCGTGAACCAACAGCGACGGGACCGAGTATAAAAAATACACCGGCCCCTCAGTGATGGAAGCCCGCTGAAGTCCACTGGGCTGCTTGTCAGTGGGTGCCCCCTTCCCGGACACTGATGGTCCAGCGTCTCCAGTCCCCATTAGCGCTCGCGGGTGGGACCTGTAACTGTAACTGCAGGAGGGTTCCCGTCCAGGGTAGGAGAGCTTGACCCGATCAGGCAAGGCGTCGGCTGTGTTCATCCCATCGCCCACAGAATGAACTTTTTCTCTTATCGGCCACAAAAGCCAAGCCAAGCCAAGATGGTTTTCTCCCTCGCCCAAGCCCAAGGCTGCCTGAAAACGCCGCCTTACATGGCTCTGCCAGAGGCTCCAAGGACCCCTTGATGGCCTGCGGTAGCTACTGCGGTATGTCATCGGGACCCCTGAGCCCAGGGCAGGCAGCATGAGCATTGTATCTGCAGGTCGCTCGCACTAACGGCTGTAACAAGCTTCCACAGGGGTCGGCGCCAGCTGGTCCAATACGCGCAAAGCAGAGCAGCGGCCAGCTGCAGCTCCAAGCAAGCTCCCATCGGCCGTCCGCGCATTGCGGGCGGGTGAAGACATCGGGCCAAGCAAGCCAGGGCATCAGTAATGGGACTTATGTATCAACCGCCGCTGATACTACTTATGTGTGTGTACATATATGTCGGCTCCCATGCCGTCTGCCTGCCAATGGCCAGTCATCCCCCACTTCCGACCCATTGAGGAGGTGAGCCTACATCGATGCTCGATATTGCTCCATTGCTGCTACCTCGCTCTCACCAGGCCCGTAATACGACACGCCTTGGGAATGCAGAGCGAGTGGCTATTGCATGGCATGGAACTGAGGCCAAGACACCCCGAAACCAACAGCAGTCATCCAACACACTGGCGCCGCCGTTGGTCTCGGCCATTCGGTGCATACCTTAGACGATATTACTCAACACCAAGCTTTCGCCATGCCGGAACTTCCCATTGGATGCCAATAGCTGGCCATATTCCACGACTCGGAACCCCCAATTCCTTGTTACTCACGGCGCCGATGATGACCAAGCATTATTACTATATATATTGGCCCCCAGAAGCCCTGGTCCCGACTCTACCCACCCGCCCATCCGCAATTCTCTCCGCCTCCAACACCCAGCCTCCTGGGTATGCCACTAGAATTTCATCAAGCGAACTGCCAAACACGGACCATGACCGTCCAGTCATCGCGTATTCGCTTTCCGACTTCCGCGACACCGCTAACCAGGGGCCAAGGAAATGAGAGAGCCGTTCCACAAGTCGTCTAGAAGAAACCACCACGTGCATATACCCACCCAGGTCTGGCACTCTCCACAAAACCCGGTTTTGAAAGCAGGACAGGTTCCTGAAGATATTAAACCGCCGTTCGCCGGCAGGGGGTTGACGGCCGTAGAGGCCAAGAACCAAAGACTCGGTGTCTGCCTAGGTGTCCTGATTCGCCGCTCGAGTCACACAGTCTGTAAGAATTGGAGATACGTCACTGGGTTCTAAGACTGGGCGAGCGAATACCAGTTCTAGCAAGTTCAGAGAAGCCTCCGGACTTGATTCCACTTGATCCCCTCGCGCCGTTTGACCTTTTTTGAATCTTCCCCTGGTCCGGAAAGTCACTGTACACACCGCCGCGGAGATGCCAAGGACTTTACGGACCCAGAGGGGTGTTACAAACTTACAATGGATACTCATTAGCTCTCGCAGTAAGATCGGAAGCCGATCAGCATCGTAAAGACAGGACGATTTGTCCATCCATGTAAACGGGACACCAGAAACCAGGGCGCGTAGGCTCTTTACCCTACAGAGATATTGCTTGGCAAAGCATCTACACCAAAATAGCTCAAGGGCGGAGAGTAAATGGTTGAATCAAACGACCAAGTTCTCCGCGCATGACTCGACATCACCTTGAAAGAACTGCTTTCCTAGCGCGAGGAGAAGAACCAACACTCCGCTCTCATTAAATTCGTTGATCGGGGGAGATTTACAGATTATGAATCTGCTTCTCGGCAATAGGGATGCTCCAACGCCTGCTTCGCGCTCAACCGGTCCTAAACTCATCAAGGTTAACAAGCCACCAACAACCACATCCTTAAAGTAAAACCTACCTTGTGATCCCACCGCAAGAGCTTGTCCATCAGATCAATCGCCTCCTCCTCGGCCAGGTGCCGGTTCTCGTCACTCACAAACTCAGTCCACGGCCGCCCCGCGTGGACCGCGATATCATCCACGTCGGCCATCTCCATGTCGTACCGCTCCACGTAGTTGCGCAGCCCGCTCGTGCCCAGCACCCTCGCGATCCGGTCCAGCTGGTCCGCGTTGCTCACCCCGTGGAAGAAGGGCTCCCGCCGGAACACGATACCGGCCAGCATCGCGCCGACCTGCCACATGTCCACGCCGTAGTCGTACTCGCCGTGCTGCAGCAGCAGCTCGGGGGCCTTCCAGCCCCGGCCCACGCGCACCGTGTACTCGGTCCGGGGCTCGTAGAACTCGGCTGAGCCCCAGTCGATCAGAAGTAACTGGGGGGGGGGGGAACCGTGAGTGATTTGAACTGGCAGGGAAGAGGTGTGCATACCCTTCTCTTGGCAGGGTCGAACAGCACGTTGTGCGGTCTGACGTCGCGGTGCATGATGCCCCGGCCGTGCGCAAACTCCAGGGCCTTGAGCAGCTCACGTGTGTAGAACCTGACATCTGCAGCGCTGAACCGGGGGTACAGCGACCGGAAGTCAACGTGGTCCGCAAGCTCGAAGACGAGAGAGGTAGGCCGGTCCTGCCAGCCAGAGACGAGCGGTCAGAGCCGGAACGACGTCGCATCGTCCCAAGAGATCTTCACTTCATGTTACTAGGGGAAGAAGAACTAGGCCATACCTGGTCGCCCGTGACGATATCAAGAAGCGTAATGATGTTCACCCCACCGCGTAGGGCCTCGAGGACCTTGATCTCGCGGCGGACGTGGTGGTCCCGGGTGGTCTTGAGCGATTTGATGGCGCATCTGAGGGCCGTTCGCACGTTGACCCCCTCGAAGACGTCGGAATACC